TTTTTATTTTATTTTTTTGAGACAGAGTCTCTGTTGTACAATGGCTTGATCTCAGCTTACTGCAACCTTCACCTCCAGGGTTCAAGCAATTCTTGTGCCTTAGCCTCCCAAGTAGCTGGGACTACAGGCATGCACCACCACGCCTGGCTAATTTTTGTGTTCTTTTTTTTTAGTAGAGACAGGGTTTTGCCATGTTGGCCAGGCTGTTCTTGAACTCCTGGCCTCAAGTAATCCGCTCGCCTTGGCCTCCCAAAGTGCTAGGATTACAGGCTTGAGCCCAGCCATTTTCCCCTTCTTTCATTGAACAAATGAGGCTTGATTGCCTACCATCAGCAAGGCACTGCTCTGGGCCCAGAAATTACATCTCTGGGCCTCTGTTTCTTCATCTGTAACGTGGAGAGACCAGATCATCTCTGGGGCAGTGGTCTTCAACTTGAGTGTGCATCGGACTCACCAAGAGGGCTCATTACAACACAGACTGCTGAGCCCCAGTCTGTTTCTGATTTAGGGGGTCTGGATGGGGCCTAAGAATTAGTATTTATTATTTCCCAGGTGATGCTGGGGCTGCTAGCCCAAGAACCACACTTTGGGAACCCACCTAGGGTTCCATCTAAGGTTCTGTGCTTCTAAATAAACTACATTCCAGTTCTGGAAATGTCAACAAATAAAAAATAGCTTCCTGCAACTGAGAATGGGAAGTAATCCCTTTTCCTAGCAGTTTGGGAAGACTTAACAAAGCAAACATGTCAACAGAAGTTCAATTATCTAGCTTCCATTCTACCCACAGGGCCACAGGAGAGAGACATGACATCAATAGTGCTCAAAGTTGGGTGAGTTTCAACAAGTAGTTCTTTCTGGGTGTGGTGACTTTGTGTAAGCCTTTTAAGGAAGGTTGAGTGGAGAGGTTTAAGCCTGGTAGAGCATTCTGAAATAGCCAGGCCTAATGCCCAAAGGATAATACTGTCGGATGTCACTTTAAGGCCCACTACAACTTATCCCTTTCTTACAAATTTAGCCTGATCATTGGTGAGTTCTGGACAAGGACATGATGTCCCAGCGTGAACTCCTGAACCTGACTCCATGCCTTTGTTCATGCTGTTCCCTGTCCAGAATACCCTTCCTGGTCCTCTCCACCTCTGTAAGCCCTATTTGTCTATCAGGATCAAGGTGCAATCTGACTATTCTTCATGAGAACTTAAGAACTTCTTGATCTATACTGAGTATCTCTTTCTGCCTGTCTCAGCTCACTGGGATATTTGATCATTGTTTTCTAATTTTTTCTCATTTGTTGATCTATTCATTCAATAAATGCTGCCCTCCCTTCAGCAAATCCTTATTGGAGTCCTGCAATGTGCTGGGCATTATGGTAGGTTTGAGGAAGAGACTCCTAGGTAAAAATAGACCTGGTTCCTGCTCTAATAGAGAAAGATCCATTAATGAAATAATTGCACTGGTGGATGTACAATTACAAGCGGAGGAGAGTAGTCTAAAGGAAAGGAATATGGTTTTATGATAACATATAAGAAAGGAATCTGATGTAGACTTGGGGATTGGGGTCAGAGTCAACTTTCTGAGAATGTGTAATTTGAGCTGAGATCTGAAGGATACCGTGTTGGGGAGGAGGGGAAGAGCTCTCCAAATGGTGAGGGGGCATCATGTACAAAGGCCCTGCAGTGGAAGAGAGCATGGCAGGTTCAAGGAAAGAGCTCCTTGAAAACAGCATCCAGTTTGGGAGAGATGATGTTGAATTGCCTTTGAATGTGGACGTGGTGACGTAGAGATCAGGATCTCAGACCATCTGAGCTGGGGGCAGTCATGATATTGCTTAAAATCAATAAGGGGTCAGAAAGGATGGGTGGTGGATGAGGCTGTCAAAGGAGAGAATATGTGTGAGGAAAGGAGTGGGTGTCTCAGACTGGGTCCTAAGCCCCAGAGGGCCAGAGTGTTTCAAGGAAGGAGAGTGGCTTCCCACTGGCAAGACAGGGAATGTTTCTCTTATTCCTCCCTCGCTCCCTGCTCACTGTCTTCTGAGTTCTGGTCTTAGTTATGCCTCACCTGGCTGCAGCGAGAGTCTGCTAATTCAGTGCTTCTCCAATTTTAATGTGCACATGACTTACTTGGGGGTGGGGATCATCTCAATAAAATACAGATTCTGACTCAATAGATCTCAACTGCAGCCTGAGATTCTGCATTTCTAGCCAGCTCCCAGGTGACCTGGAACACCGTTTGAGCAGCGAGGTTCATTAGTCTCCTTGCCTCTGAAGCTCAGCATCCTCATGCCCAGCATCCTTTCACTGCTGCAGCCATCCTTGGCCAGCCTCCCCTTCCACCCACGGCTGGCCTTCCTCCACCCTTCCCTCCACGAAATGCAACCCTTCATCTGAAGTTTTCCGTCTCTTTCTCTCGTAATTCAGAAAGGGACAGACCAACTCAGCTCGCTCACAGGTAGAGGGGGACGACTGCAGGGTCTTCAAACTTTTCTGTTTAAAATCCTCCCTAAAAGAATCTTTTAAAACTCTTTGCCCCTTCATACAGTTTTAAGTTTACACCCACATTTTTTTATCATACATTTGCTGAAGATATAATTTCCAGTATGTTGTAAACATTGATATTTTTAAGCAAAACTATTACATCACTGTTTTAAATTTATCCAGTGGAATCTAAACACCATAGCAATTTAATACCTCCCGTCATCCATTTTTAAAATGCATGAACACCCTCTTTAATAGTCAGTGTTCCTTTTTCTTCTGGAAATTGTATTTTCATTTCACTTGCTCTGTGGAATTTTATCCTAATGTGATATGTGTAATATATTTTTATGCTTGGAACTTTTTCACTTGTTTCCTTACCATAGTTTTCTGTAACAATTTTGTAGAAAGTTGAAACTCTCTTAATTTCCTAAAATCAAAAGATCTAAGTATTAAAATGTTCTTCTGGCTTGAGTTATCACAATTATTAATAGTACACAGTTGATCAAAACAACATTAAATGTGTTACTAATTTTGATAAATAGTAAACATAAATAGTTAAGTTATATTGAAAATGCATCTCTAAATGAAATGGTGGTACTGGGTAACTTTGTTGGGGGGGTGACTTTTTAAAATAAACTTTTTTAAATTGACATGCAGCATATACACCTTTATGTATATGACCAGGTCATAGTGTATAGCTTGAATTACAGCAGAGTGAGAATGACCATGCAGTTCCCACCCAGGTCTAGAAATAAAACATTGCTGGTGCTAAGCTATATTTTCAATTTCATTAACCATGGAAGAATATTAGTTATTGCCAGCATGAGACAAGGATCAGCATTTATTATGTTTCCATTTTTCATTCTTCCTGATGCAGTACATGAGAAGTTTGCCCTTCTTTTTGTAAAGGAGGGTGATTAGGAAAGAGAAGGCCTAAAAGGACAGCTTGTACCTCTGCCACCCATGAGTTCTAGAAAGAATTTCTGTAGAAGTTGAGGGTCTAGGAATTGAACCTTTTTTTTTTTTTTTTTTTGAGATGGAGTTTTGCTCTTGTCACTGAGGCTAGAGTGCAGTGGCACAATCTCGGCTCACTGCAACCTCTGCCTCCCGGGTTCAAGCGAATCTCCTGCCTCAGCCTCCCAAGTAGCTGGGATTACAAGTGCCTGCCACCACACCCAGATAATTTTTGTATTTTTGGTAGAGAGAGGCGGATCATGAGGTCAGGAGATCGAGACCATCCTGGCCAACATGGTGAAACCCCGTCTCTACTGAAAATACAAAAATTAGTTGGGTGTGGTGGCAGGCACCTGTAGTCCCAGCAACTCGGGAGGCTGAGGCAGGAGAATCGCTTGAACTCAGGAGGCGGAGGTTGCAGTGAGCCAAGATCGCACCATTGCCCTCCAGCCTGGGCAACAGAGCGAGACTCCATCTCAAAAAAAAAAAAAAAGAGATGAGGTCTTGCTTACTATGTTGTCCAGGCTAGTCTTGAACTCCTTAGCTCAAGCAATCCTCACCTCAGTCTCCTGATAGGTGGAGGTACAGGTGCATGCCATCATGCCCTGCTTCTCTTATTTTTACCTTTTGATTACATGTATCTTTTTCCCCTTTGTAATTATTCATGCAGCTCATCACCTTTTCTAACTACATGCTTGAGAGCAGGCCTATGTCTTAGTCATTTCTCAGCATTGTGCCTTAACAGTTAATAGGTGTCTAATAAATATATGTTGAACAGATAACTTGATTAATGCATATCTTAAACCTCTTTATATTTCCCACAGGTCCTAGAATAGTGTTGGGCTTTCAATAGCAGGGTCTCAGAAGAATGGATGAATTAATTAATCAATGAACAAAACAATGAATTAACAAATCAATGAACTACTGAGCCATTGAACAATGGCTCGAAAGTAAGAGTTTGCATCTCATGTGAGAATTAAGATCTGCAGACTCAGTGGAAAGGGTGTAGAGTGCAGTGCATGACACTGGCTATTTCTAATTGAGTCTCCTATTTCATATATATATATATGTATGTATATATTTTAGAGATAGGGTTTCACTCTGTCATCTAAGCTACAGTGCAGTGGTGCAGTCGTAACTCAGTGCAGCCTTAAACTTCTGGTCCCAAGTGATCCTCCTTCCTCAGCCTCCTGAGCAGCTGGGACTACAGGCACATGCCACCACGCCCAGCTAATTTAAAAACCTTTTTTTTTTTTTTTTGAGACGGAGTCTTGCTCTGTCGCCCAGGCTGGAGTGCAGTGGCCGGATCTCAGCTCACTGCAAGCTCCGCCTCCCGGGTTTACGCCATTCTCCTGCCTCAGCCTCCCGAGTAGCTGGGACTACAGGCGCTAAAAACATTTTTGAGACGGGATCTCCCTATGTTGCCCAGGCTGGTCTCAAACGAACCTCATGTCTCAGCCTCCCAGGTAGCTGGGATTATATATTTATTTTTATCACTGGTCATGGTAGATATCAATTGCTCATCACAAAACATCCAAATAAATCCTTTCCTGTGTTTTGCCTCTTGCCTTGCAGGTGTGAGCGCGGTCTCCTCACCGCAGTGCTGTGTGGTCCGTACCTCAGCCAGGGAGAGGATGTGAAACCCCCCGCCCTGCACATGAGTGGTACAGGCCAACAGGAACACCTGGCTCCAGCCACGTTCACAGACATGTCAGCCGTGGAGTAGTGCCGACACTTTCTCTCAGCGTCTCAGGGTTTCAGTCCTTTTGGGTTTGTTTTATTTACCTTTTTTATGGTTTTGTGGCTGGACTTTCACAACCAAGGCAGACAGCATGGGTGACCAGCAACTGTACAAGACCAACCATGTGGCCCACGGTAGTGAGAACCTTTTCTACCAACAGCCACCACTTGGCGTCCACGGCGGGCTGAACCACAACTATGGGAATGCAGTAACAGGGGGCGGAATGGATGCCCCTCAGGCCTCGCCCATCTCCCCCCACTTCCCTCAAGAAACGCGGGATGGTCTGGGCTTACCTGTTGGCTCCAAAAACCTTGGCCAAATGGATACCTCGAGGCAGGGAGGGTGGGGAAGTCATGCAGGGCCTGGAAACCATGTCCAGCTACGTGGAAACCTGGCCAACTCAAACATGATGTGGGGGGCACCGGCCCAGGCTGAGCCCACTGATGGCTACCAATATACCTACTCCCAGGCCAGCGAGATCCGGACCCAGAAGCTTACCAGCGGTGTCTTACACAAGCTGGACTCTTTCACCCAGGTGTTTGCCAACCAAAACCTGCGAATTCAGGTCAACAATATGGCCCAGGTGCTGCACACTCAGTCAGCAGTGATGGATGGAGCCCCTGACAGTGCCCTCCGCCAGCTGCTATCTCAGAAGCCCATGGAGCCCCCAGCACCGGCTATCCCTTCCCGCTACCAGCAGGTGTCCCAGCAGCCTCACCCTGGTTTCACTGGTGGGCTGTCCAAACCAGCCCTTCAGGTCGGGCAGCACCCTACCCAAGGGCACCTGTATTATGACTACCAGCAGCCACTGGCTCAGGTGCCAGTGCAGGGAGGACAGCCACTGCAGGCCCCACAGATGCTGTCACAGCACATGCAACAGATGCAGCAGCACCAGTATTACCCACCGCAGCAACAGCAGCAAGCCGGGCAACAGCGTATCTCCATGCAAGAAATACAGACGCAGCCGCAACAAATTCGCCCATCACAACCACAGCCGCCGCCACCGCCGCCGCAGCAGCAGCAGCTACAGCTGCAGCAGCGGCAGGGTTCAATGCAGATACCTCAGTATTATCAGCCCCAACCCATGATGCAGCACTTGCAAGAGCAGCAGCAGCAACAGATGCACCTGCAGCCCCCTTCTTATCACAGGGACCCTCACCAGTATACCCCAGAGCAGGCACACACTGTCCAGCTGATTCCCCTGGGCTCCATGTCCCAGTACTACTACCAGGAGCCCCAGCAGCCCTACAGCCACCCCCTCTACCAGCAGAGCCACCTGCCCCAGCACCAGCAGCGTGAGGACAGTCAGCTGAAGACCTACTCTAGCGACAGACAGGCCCAGGCCATGCTGAGCTCCCATGGGGACCTGGGGCCTCCTGACGCAGGAATGGGAGACCCAGCGAGCTCGGATCTGACCCGGGTCAGCAGCGCCCTCCCCCATCGCCCCCTCCTATCCCCCAGTGGGATCCACCTCAACAACATGGGGCCTCAGCATCAGCAGCTGTCTCCTAGTGCCATGTGGCCCCAGGTATTCTCCCACTGGAAGTTTCTCTCTATACCCAGTGTGCTACAGGGTCAGCCAGGGCTGAGTCTGCAGTGCTCAATCCTTTGTCCAAGCCTCCTCAACCCTTTTGTTCTTTATTCATTCCCCAAACATTAACCTACATGTGTCACACACTGTCTGTGCCAAGCACTTGGAATACAAAATCAATCTCTGTTAAGTCCTTTGGCCATGGAGCTTATAATCTACTAAGGAGATGGCCAGAGTACCATATCATGCCCTAAATGATTCATGTAATGGTCAAGACCTTGAGTAGGGTGCCAGGGGACCACACAGTGGTGGTGTCTCAGTTCCCTTGGATCTGTGTGCTCAGGATATGCTCTGTGACATTGGTCCCCCTTTGGAAGGGAGACCACGTTATGACAGCATTTCTCAAAGTATATTGCTCAGAACAGTCGTTCCACAGTGCTTAATGGATATTGCTAGGGAAACAGTGGGTTCTCTGGATAAACTAGGGGTTTTTTTTTTTTTTTTTTTTTGAGACGGAGTCTCGCCCTGTTACCCAGGTTGGAGTGCAATGGCACAATCTTGGCTCACTGCAACCTCCGCCTCCTGGGTTCAAGCAATTCTCCTGCCTCAGCCTCCCAAGTAGCTTGAATTCCAGGTGCGCATCACCACACCTGGTAAGTTTTTATATTTTTAGTAGAGACAGGGTTTCACCATGTTGGTCAGGCTGGTCTCGAACTCCTGACCTCGTGATGCGCCTGCCTCACCCTCTCAAAGTGCTGGAATTACAGGCGTGAGCCACTGTGCCCAGCCTGTTTTTCTTTTTAGAGACAGGGTCTTGCTCTGTCACCCAGGCTGGAGCGCAGTGATGCAATCATAGCTCACTGCAGCCTTGAACTCCTGGGCTCAAATGATCCTCCCACATAGCTAGGACTACAGGTGCATGCCACCATGCCTGGGTACTTTCTTTGGTTTGGTTTTGTTTTGTAGAGACAGGTCTCCCTATGTTGCCCAGGCTGCTCTTGAACTCCTGGCCTCAGACAATCCTCCTGCTATAGCCTCCCAAAGTGAAACAGGTTGCTGTACTGCAGGACTTTTTGTGGTCTTTAATATGGTAATGCATCGTGAGTCTCCCACACACTATGTGTGATTGCGGAGATGAAAACCTTAGCTGCCCACATGATCCAGGCTGGGAAAGTAAATAAGCAAAACTGTCTGGTATGAGACATTAGGGAGTGGTGGTGACTGGGGACTAGAGAGCAGATACCCCATCCCATAGCATTCTCATTAAGGATTTTTAAAAAACAGTCTAGCCAAACAAACATGTCTGCAAGCCGGTTCAGCCTATGCACCATGATTAACCCTTGATTAGTTCCCAAAAGTATTTGACCAGAAAACAGCCTACTATGTGCTGGGCACTTTTCATGCCGTGGCTTATTCCAAGTGCTGCAGTCAGATGACAGCCATGTCTGAGGAGAAGGCGACCCCAAATGGGAACTGGTTGGGTAGAGAGAAGGTTCTGATGGAGGTTGAAGGCCAGAGATGAACTTCCCCTTGAGTTTGCTTTGTCTGGGGCTCAGAAACAGTAGTAACTGAGAGCCTTTGTAAATATAGGAATGAGATGATTTAGATGATTTGGCTAAGGCTTTTTAAGAAGAATTCCAGGGCCGGGTATGGTGGCTCACACCTATAATCCAAGCACTTTGGAAGGCCAATACGGGAGGATCGCTTGAGCCCAGGAGTTCAAAACCAGCCTAAGCAACAGAGCAAGACCTTGCCTCTACAAAAAATCAAAAATTTAGCTGGGTGTTGTGGCGCACACCTGTAGTCCCAGCTACTTGGGAGGCTGAGGCAGGAGGATTGCTTAAGCCCAGGTGGTAGAGGCTGCAGTGAGCCATGATCATGCTACTGCACTACAGCCTGGGTGACAGAGCAAGACCCTGTCTCAAAAAAAAAAAAGGGGGGGGAATTCCATCAGGAGGTCTCCTGGTATAGTGCTGTGTCTTCCAACTCTCTTCTGTGTCCTTTATGGGAATGGAGCCTATCTGTGCACAGAGTGGGTGCCCTGGGAGAAAAGGAAAGAACACGGTGGGCGGTTGCATCCTGGTGGGCTTGTTGTGGCTGGCAGCAGCTCCAGGAGTGGGGGCGGTGGTCCCAAGTCAAGGAGCAATTCAGGGACAGATGTCAAATGCAGAAGAGCGAGGGCATGAGTGGACATGAATGGGGTCAGCACAAGGCAGATGGCAGAAAGAGTCCTGGAAGAGTACCTGATGTTCCCACTGCTCGAGGACTTCTCCCTTCAGAACACATTTTTTTCTCTTCTTTTTTTCGGTGTCCTGTTTGGCTCAAAATTAGATGCACCTACCTGATGGGAGAGCCCAGCCAGGGTCCCCTGAGTCAAGGTAGGATGAGTGGAGCCTTGTTGGTATTTTGGGAGACTGGGAGGATTTTCTGGGGTGTCTCTCATGATTCATTTCTAAATTCCATGTCATTCCTCAAAGAAGTGTGTAGAAATAATAATAGCAGCTGCTGTGTTTGAGTGCATACTATGTGCTAAGCACTAGGCATTGTGTGTAGTAAAGTAACCCGTGAGAGTGGGTATGATGATGATGTGCCTATACTCAGTAAGCACTCAATAATTGTTAGCTAGTATGATTGTTACTTTACAAATGAGAAAACTGAGGCTCAAAGAGCTTGAGGTTACACATCAAGTAACAGTGCTGGGATTGACTGCAAAGCCCATGTTCTGTCCACTGTGCATTCATTCAGTATTTATTGAGTATCTACTGTGTGCCAAGCACAGAGCTAGGCTTTGAGAATGCAGCAGTGAACAGTACAGGCTGGCTTCCTCATCTCATGGGCATGGTCAATAAAGATTTAGCCAAACCTGATAAACTGCTAAAGTGTGCAATACAGAGGCTGCCCCAGGAACTTGCACAAGTGTCTCTAAGCGGGGAGGCTTTTGGAAGAGCTGGGCTCAGGCCGACCCTTGAAGGGTAATAAGCTATTTTTCCCAAGTCAAGATCCATTGCCAGAAGTCCTGACGTGAAGAAGGACGTTTTGTTCAATTCTTGCATGAGTTTGAGAAGGACTTTTCCCATTCTGAGCCTCAGCTTTTCATCTGTAAATTGGACTTTGTTCTCTAAAGGGCATTGGGCTGATACAAGTGGTGCCATGGACAATGGGATCATTGGATGAATGATATGGGTTTGTGGTGGGTATGAGGTCTTGTAGCAAGTCACTGTTTCCCCTTCCTCAATGTATGTGTCCTCTCCACTTGGCTCTACCCTTGAGCAGTGGCCAACCCAAAGGAGTGTTTGGGGAGCAGTTTGATGCCAAGAACAAGCTGACATGCTCCATCTGCCTGAAGGAGTTCAAGAACCTGCCTGCCCTGAACGGCCACATGCGGTCCCATGGGGGAATGAGGGCCTCCCCCAACCTCAAACAGGTTAGCAGGAGCCAGTTCCCGGTCCTTTCTAGGCCGTGTGCTGCTTGCTTTGCTTTGCTGCCATCAGACAGAGAGTGATGTGAGCCCCATGCGGGACCTGGCGAGGCACAGCCCTCCCTTGACAGGAATGCTTAGGCTTTGACGCTGGGAGCCAGCCAGGTCAACCAGCCCCACTTCCCCAGCTTTATGATGAGTAAGGGTCAAAAACAGAGGCTCTAGAAAGCCTTTTAGGCCATCCCAGCCTCTCTCTGCCTCCTAGAGAAGACAGCAAAGGAAAATATGTAAATGCAATATTATTTTTAAACTTCTGCTGCTTGACACACCCAAGACCAGGCCCACTGTGGCCTTCCAGATTAGTGGTCAATGGCGAGAGAAAGCTAATATAATCATCAGGTTCTCAGCCAGAATTTTCTGTTTACTGATGCAGTGGTGTTTGGCTCAACATCCAAAGATCCTTAAATACCCTCTGGATTATCCGGGTAGGATATCCAGATAGTAAACTATCCACAAATTTTAGAGTTAGATTAAAATCAAAAAGTTTTCTCAGAATTCTTTTAATATTGTTACTCTGAATTTAAATCTATGGGATTAAATCTCTGTTGATCAGAATTTTTGATTACCCAGATCACTCCATCTCCTGGCCATGCCAGATTATGTTTTTTAAAAAAGCTTTTGTCTTTACTTGTTAAAAGTACATGTTTTGTATCTCCAGTGTGGTTTCCTGACCTGAATAAAATATAGGATGGAATGCCTATTTCCATTTTGACAAATGAGTAAACTAAGGCCCATAGAATTAGAAACTCCTACACAAGATCATACCTTTTTTTGGACTGATTACAAGTCCATGTCCTTTTCTTTAAAAGCTGACACAATTTTTAAAAAATAGTTTAATATACAAGTAATGCATGGTCAAGATTTTTTAACTGTAGAAAATGGAGTCCATGGCCGCCTCTACCATCAGCTGGCATCACTCCAGCCAAGGGACTCAGGATTGCAGGAAGGAAATCACCCTGCAGTGGTTCTCTATCACCCATACCTGATGTCCTGGAGCCTTTCAGGAAAAGCAAAGTGCATCCCCCTTGTGAGAGCTGCTCTCAGCCCAGGATCAAAGCCTTTATTGTCTGTGTAGGAGGAAGGAGAGAAGGTCCTGCCGCCTCAGCCCCAGCCGCCACTGCCGCCTCCGCCTCCGCCTCCGCCGCCGCCACAGCTCCCTCCCGAGGCAGAAAGCCTCACGCCTATGGTCATGCCCGTGTCTGTCCCTGTCAAGCTTCTCCCGCCCAAGCCCAGCTCTCAGGGGTTCACCAACAGCACCGTTGCCGCCCCCTCCGCCAGAGACAAGCCAGCCAGCTCGATGTCGGACGACGAGATGCCTGTGCTCGTGAGGATGACCCTCTCCCCCCCACACTCACCCCAAGGGGCTGCCCCCCGCACGCCTGCTGTGAGTTGCTGCTCTGCCCCACCTGCCTGGGTGGGGACTTCCCTTTGCTTTCTTGGAGATGGGGCAGCCCTTCCAGAGTCAATGACCTGAGCTCAGACATGGCTTGGTCTCTCGGGGCTGAACCCCCATGGCCACATTGGGAACCCCATCCTTGTTCACACTGCCTGCTACCCATTAAATGCCAGACTAATGGCCTGGGTTAGATTCTGAGAGACCCGAAAGTGTTCCCAGGTTTAAACAGAGATGATCATTCAGCTGGGAATCACTGGGACAATCATAGCCATTATTGAAATATGAAAGTACTCTATCCCAGAAAGTAAGCAGCTGTTGCCCCAGGCCCTGGCCCCTTCCCCAGGATCTCCAGATCTCCCAAATCCACAACCAAAGAGGTAAACACTGTCGCAGCAGGCTTCCAGGCAATAGCCCTGGCATCCATTCTGACAATCAGCCTTACCAGATGCTTAATATTTTGTCTGCTTAAATACCCTGGAAAACCTAATTCGTTAAAGTTCCCAAAGTAGTTCCACTGAGAGCCTAATCTCAGGAAAGCAAAGAGATTTGTTTTTCTCACTCACTGTTCTCCTTTCTCTAATTCTAAGTGCTTCACTCAAACAGCTTAACTTGGCTCTGGGAAGGGTTTGTCTCTCTGTCTGTCTCTCTCTCTGTCTCTCTCTCGGCCCCTAGGGAATTTGTGACCTGTGTGGTTGGGAATATCAAACCTACCCCCTCCCCACAAAGTGGCGTGTTGGGTCATATTTGTCCTTAGGAATAGGCAGCTGCTGAGAATCCAGGAGGCATAAGGGTAGGCTGGGCCAGGATAGAGGGAGAGAGGATAATGAAAAGAACTAGAAAAGTCCAGAAAAAAAGCCTTTATGGTTATCTATGTAACATCAAGTCCTCAAAAGAAAAGAAACTGATGGAGAACTGAGGGGAAGATTCTCATAAGCTGTCAGGGCTTAGGGGTCAGCAACAGGCAGAGATGAAATGACACATCCAAGCTCCCTCTTTGCCCAGGGAAGTTCCTGATTTGGTGGGAGAAACAGTGTCTCCTTGGGGAAACAGTTCCCTTGGGGAACTCTGAATTAAGGGTTCATAGTCACATGGGGGTCAGAGTCCCAGGCACACACCCCACCCACCTACCCATTCAAGATGGTAAGAGAAAGACAGGGGCAGACAAGAAATGGATGCCTCAGGTGTGACTGGATGAGAACACACCAGGGTAGCCAAAGTCATTAGGGACTGGGGAGGGGCAAGGGAGTTTGCTCAGGAGATCATCATTAGAGTTCTGAGCAGGGTTTTGAAGGAAGGGATGACCTTGGCTTAATGGAAGGGTGAGAGAGACCTCGTTGGTGGGGGCGATAGGCTGAAGTGGAAGCGTGTAGGTGAGACTGAATACATGTGAACAAGGCCCTGGCACTTGATGTAAAGCAATTAAAACAGCCAGGAAGGAGCCCTCTCCCCTGACCTTGGTGGGGTTGGACTCATCAGTGGTTCTCAGCCTTCTCTGTGGGCAGCTTTTTAAAGTTTTCAGTTGTTGGCCTCACCCCCAAAGTGTCCAAATAGCCTGGTGAGATGGAACACTGTAAGTGCTTCCTCTCAATTGACAACCAGACTTGACATCCTGGGTGGCTTCTCTGGCCCAGTGGCTCAGAGCCTTGCCTGGAGGATTGGAAAATCCAGGTTTAGAGCTGGAGTAACAGGACAAGAAGCTGAAGGAGAAGGAGCCCAAAAGGGACCCCTGGCCCTGTGATCAGAGGTCTGGATTGCAGTGCCGTGTTGAGATCCTATGAGGTCTGCATGTTCTTGGATGACTTTATCTGTTACCCGGGAACAGGCTGTATCTTCGGGCTGCTCCCCTTGTGAGGGGCACAAGTCTCCTTCCCCCATTCTCCCCAGCCCCTCTCTCGCCTCAGCCTCAGGCGCTGAGGAGCCCTCTGGTGGAGAGAGGAGGCAGTTGAGCGCGCTGGCCTAAGGAGGGCCCCCTGGGGGTGAGCCGGGGTGGGGACGGGGGTTAGGAACCTCACTCTGGAGCCGGGAGCCTGGGACCCTCTGCCCGCTCCTCCTTTCCCCACTCTCTGCCTCCCTAGACTCCCCTCCTAGAGGCCAGGATGGCACCATGGAAGGCAGAGAAGCTGAGGGAGAAACGTAAGGGGGCAGAGCCTGAAGCTCTGGAGAGAGAGGAGTCCAGAGCAGAGGAGCCCATGGAGCAGGTCACATGACCGTGGTCAGCCCTTCCCATCACCCCCTGCTGCTTCCTACCCAGGCGCCACCCTGGGCTCAGGAGTCTCCAGGACCTGCAGCTGTGACTGGCCCCTGGCCTGCAGGGCCTGAGAGGGCACCCCAGACTGCCCAGAACCTTCCCTCAGGTATCCCCGTGGCCCCTCCCAACCACACCGCCTCTGCAGCCACACCCAGCTCTCGACTTTTCTGGGCTGATGCTACCACCCAACCCGAGTCTGTTTCTGTTTGGCTTTGGCATGCCCTGCTCATCTGTTTACGTGCCTATGTTTACTTATTAGTATATATGTATCCATGTGGCAGATCCTCCTTCCAGACTATGCTTGGTTCCGCTGCCATTAAAATAAACTAACTCTCCTGACAGGAAGCCAACCTCAGAGAAGAGTTTGCTACAAATAAGCTACGAGTTCTGGGAGCAATAGTGAGGGTGGTGACGGGGGAGGTTAACCAGAGCCGTTTTTAGGTGAGCACATAGAAGGGCCCTTAGAGGTCATCGAGGGTGCTCCCCCATGCTGAAAGTGACCCAGGAGAGCCTGGTGTGGGTCGCTGGCCTTGGGAACCTTGGCTAGGCTTGAACCCCCACTTCCTGCCTCACAGGTCTCGGTCCCAGCTTCCCTGAAGAGATTATTCAGTCCCCTTCTCGGAACATGTGGTATCTGTTCCTGATGTCCGTCCCTGGGGAGCAGTGGGGGAATTAAAGAGCCCACTCAGCTGGATTCTACTCAAACAGATGGGAATGTAGTGATAAGCAATAAAGAATTTGAATTTATTATTTCTTGCCCACCCACTATTCCTACCACCCCCAGCTCTTTCAGAAATTGGGGATTTCTTCCAAAACCTTAGTTTTCTCCTGAGTCTAGCAACCAGAACTCGCTTTCCCTGAAATGGATGTAGTCAGTGTGGGGGCGTGGGGGTGGGGTGGTCAAGCAGAAGGGCTCTCTGCTTAGACGGTAGAAGGCCCTCTTCCCCGAACCTGGGGAAATGGCCTGCGGGGGAAGCTGAAGTATTCGAATCAGATCGTTGTTCCCGTTTTAGGAAATCCCCAGGAAGCATCAGCCCAGCGTGCCCAAAGCCGAGGAGCCCCTCAAGACCGTGCAGGAGAAGAAAAAGTTCCGGCACCGGCCGGAACCACTCTTCATCCCGCCGCCGCCCTCCTACAACCAGAACCCCGCCGCCTCCTACTCTGGCGCCACCCTGTACCAGAGCCAGCTGCGCTCCCCGCGCGTCCTCGGGGATCACCTGCTCCTGGACCCCACCCACGAGCTGCCCCCTTACACGCCCCCACCCATGCTGAGCCCGGTGCGCCAGGGCTCGGGGCTCTTCAGCAATGTCATCTCCGGCCACGGCCCTGGCGCCCACCCGCAGCTGCCCCTGACGCCCCTGACGCCCACGCCACGGGTGCTGCTGTGTCGCTCCAGTGAGTCACCCCTTTAGCGTCCTCCTGGGCTCTGGGTGCTGGGTAGAGTCCTGGGAGACCTCGTTTTCTTTAGCTTTACCATTTATCCCACAGACTTTTGCGGAGTATTGACTATATGTAGCACACACTGCTGGGTGTTAAGAAAGACTTGGAATACATAGCCCTTATCCTCAAGGGAATCGCAGTCTAATTGGGAGACAGATGCATAAACTGATCACTACAGTCTCTGGGATAAGGAAACAGTTGAAATGTTCACCTACTTTCTAAGACTGCCAGCAATGATCATGCAAGAGAGAAAAAAATGAGGCCGGGCGCGGTGATTCACGCCTGTGATCCCAATGCTTTTGGAGGCCAAAGTGGGTGGATCACTTGAGGCCGGGAGTTGGACACCAGCCTAGCCAACATGGTGAAACCCCGTCTCTACTAAAAATACAAAAATTAGCCAGGAATGGTGGCGCGCGCCTGTAATCCTAGCTACTTGGGAAGCTGAGGCAGGAGAATCGCTTAAATCTGGGAGGCAGAGGTTGCAGTGAGCGGAGATCAAGCTACTGCGCTTTAGCCTGGGGGACGAGAGCAAAACTCCGTCTCAAAAAAAAAAAAAAAAAACGGGATGTGGTGGCAGGCACCTGTAGTTCCAGCTACTCAGGAGGCTAAGGCAGGAGAATCTCTTGAACCTGAGAAGCGGAGGCTGCAGTGAGCCAATATCGCACCAGGGTACTCCCGCCTGGACAAAGAAGCCAGACATCTCAAAAAAAAAAAAAAAAAAAAAGAAAGAAAGAAAATGTACTCAGTAGATGTACAAATAAGATTAGGTATTACATGCAAGATCAAGCCTTGACATTTTAGCATGCTTTATGAAAATCAAGCATAGAGAGGATAGACTCTCTTTCTGAAGAAAGAATAATTGCATAGAAATCGTACCGCTTAGCAGACCATTGTGGGACAGCTGGCTTCTCCTCACCCTGTGTGAGCAATGGGTAACCCTAAGTTATTTAGCACCATACTCCACCCAGCTCCCTGGAAACTGTCAGGGGTAACTCTGGCAGGAGTTGGGTAGGAGAGGAGCTCTGTTATGGCTGGTTAGGTAACTGCTTATTTGCTTTAGTCTTTTTCAACATTCCTTCCCTGTTGACCTCTGATTTTTGTGTTTTAGACAGCATCGATGGCAGCAACGTGACGGTCACCCCAGGGCCTGGAGAGCAGACTGTAGATGTTGAACCGTAAGGAAAAGTCAATTACTCTTTCGAACAGAAGCTTCAGCTTCTTGAGAAGTGTAGTTAATACTTGTGTAGTCAGAGGATTACACTGAGAGAGCAGTTGTAGAAATTGTAGGATTGTGGTTATTTCTTGAGTACTGTTGTTTCCCTACACAATGGTTGCCAGTATTTTAAGGCCTTTGCCAAAGACTAGATACATGATCAAAGCATGAAGCCCTGTATTCAGAGAGCCTAGCGTCCCTGTGTCTGGCTCCACAGGCAGTGCTTTCTCATCCCGTGATACAGGCATCTCCCTCATTCTTTAAGAGGCACCTTCTGAATGTCCTCACTTCCCCCTCCCTGATTCTTGGCCCGTCCTCCAAATGGGCTTGTTAAGTACTTTAATTTTGCATAGGCAGTGGGTGGTATTAGGAGAGGCAAAGGTGGTTATCTTCATGGATAGGCACAGAAAAGAGGCCAGGTGGTAGAGTGATGAGTAGATTGAGTCAGGAATCAGAACACCTGAGTTCCAACACCATTTTGTAATTTGATCTTGATCCAGTTAACCTTTCTAGGCTTTAGTGGACTCGTCAAATGAGAGTAATTATTGCAGCTTGCTTACGTTGCAGATCTCTGTGAGGTTCGGATGGGATAATGTCTGTGAAAGTGATCTGAAAGAGACAAAAAAATGAAATGAATGCTTTGTATTTGTCCCCTTTTTTGTGTGGTTAAATGGCACCATTGGCCATGCTCTGGGAAACTGTTCTCTTGGAATTAATCACCCTCCCTCTCCCAATTACGGGGAGCCATAAAAGCCCCAGGCCAACTGCCCCCTTGCTCCTAAAATATTTCTCCCTAATCTTAAAGCTGTTCCTTATCCCAGCAAAAAAGCCATGTGTGGAATCTTAGGGTCACACTCTAAGGAAATGCCCCTGCATTCTTGTAGAAAGAACTAGTTTCCTTCTTTTTCAAGTTCCTGACAGTTGCCCTTGGCCTGAGCCATCAACTTGAAGACCACATTGTTGTTTTTCTTCTTGTCATTTAAAGACGCATCAACATTGGCTTGAGATTCCAAGCAGAAATCCCTGAACTCCAAGATATCTCTGCCCTGGCCCAGGACACACACAAGGCCACACTGGTATGGAAGCCCTGGCCAGAACTAGAAAACCATGACCTCCAGCAAAGAGGTATTGGCCTATGGGAAGAGCTGGGTGGGAGAGGTTTGATTCTCTCACTGGGATCACTGGCTCTGGGATTGGTGTGTTTTCCATTACACTTAGCTCTCTCTGATGCACTGGCTTCTCCTTATTCCCAACAGTGGAGAATCTTCTGCATTTGTGCTGTTCCAGTGCATTGCCAGGTGGAGGGACCAATTCTGAATTTGCTTTGCACTCTCTGTTTGAGGCCAAAGGTGATGTAATGGTAAGGAACCATGAAAAAGAGGCTTTACAAATTCCTGAAGAATATTTTCTCAAGTTTCAATATTGTCTCATGTACCATACAACCAATTTGTAATGGCCAATCAGCGTGTGATGACCAATCAGCATGCCTCCCTATTCCTTCCCTCAGTGAGTAAGTCAGGATGTTAAAGCCTATAGAAAAAAATCTCCAACTGGACTTCTGTTTCCACATCTGTTCCTAAAGTTAGAACTGTGGGTATATCTGTCCTAGGACATTAGAATTTCTTTTCCTCGTCTTGTATTTCACTTCAGAAAACTGAGTCTCTCCAGTGATGGAGGTAGAAGGCTTTACTGAAGCAGAAGTTGGTCTAAAATAGCCTGTCGTACTCTGCTGATTCTTCTTCCCTGCTATGGAAATCAGCCAAAGTTTGATGTTTATAGAACTCTTTTCTCATCTAACCAAAATGAAGTGTTTACTGTTCACCAACTGGTTCCATTCTTCCACTTTTAACACAGTTCTGCAGATGTTCCCAAACCCAGGCCTTAGTGCTGTCTTCCCAAAATCAGAGCTAACGGTTGACCTGCTCAACCTGGACTCCTTTTTTTTTTTTTTTTTTTGAGACAGAGTTTCACTCTTGTTGCCCAGGCTGGAGTGCAATGGCACGATCTCGGCTCACCACAACCTCCACCTCCCAGGTTCAAGCAATTCTCCTGCCTCAGCCTCCCGAGTAGCTGGGATTACAGGCATGCACCACCACGCCCGGCTAATTTTGTATTTTTAGTAGAGACGGGGGTTTCTCCATGTTGAGTCTGGTCTCGAACTCCTGACCTCAGGTGATCCACCCACCTCGGCCTCCCAGAGTGCTGGGATTACAGGTGTGAGCCACTGCGCCCGGCCTTTTTTTAAAGGTGGAGTCTCGCTCTAACACCCAGGCTGGAGTGCAGTGGCACGATCTCAGCTCACCACAACCTCTGCCTCCCGGGTTCAAACGATTCTTTCTCAGCCTTGCTAGTAGCTGGGATTACTGGTGCATGCCACCATGCCTGGTTAGTTTTTGTATTTTTAGTAGAGATGGGGTTTCATCATGTTGACCAGGCTGGTCTCGAACTCCTGACCTCGGGTGATCCTCCCACCTTGGTCTCCCAAAGTGCTGGGATTACAGGCGTGGGCCACCGCACCCAGCCTCAACCTGGACTTCTGACCAGATCACTCAATCACTAACCTCTGTTTCCCCTTTATATAAATACATGGTAGTAGATCTAGCTTCCTGCATTTTGATTTTATGAAAATGTGAAAGTAAATGTCCCAATACTATGATACCCTTCAAGTATTTCCTAGAATGCTGGAGAACTGTCCTTAAGACTTTCAGATCAGTGTGGCAGAGCAGCACTTCTCAAACTTTTAATGTGCGTATACATCACCTGGGGAATCTAGTTAAAAATACAGATTGTGATTCAGAGGCTTGGGAGTAGGGCCCAGCTCTGCCTTTCTGACTAGCTCCCAGGTGAGGGAGGTACTCCTGTTCTATGGACCACACTTGGAGTAGCAAGATTCTAGGCCCTGCTCTGCCCGGAACCTATCTGCTGTTCAACTCTGCCTGTGGCATCTTTTAAAAAGCTACTGAGGCTGAAGAAGGCTGATTTGAAACAGTTTATTTAGCTAGGCTCTCTGGACGGATGGTGTGTACATAGTACAGTTGTTACTGATGCAGCTGTTTATGTTCAGCTGTAATGAAACATGATTTTTCTGTAAAACAGTTACAGATCACCCACTCATTTCCTCGGAACCCTTGCCCAAAGACTCAGCCTCCAGTCAGAGGAGGCCCCACTCATCTCTGGGGCTGGTGGGATTTTACCAAGGAAGAGTCAGGTCTTTCTGTTTTCCTGTGACATGAACAACTGGCTTCAGGCATGGATGGGGAGGGTGTTAGAATGAGAGTCTTACTGGCTGCTGAACAGACATGAAACCCTAGTTAGGGTAGTCTCCCTCTGGGTTTCCTTCCAGTGCCCCCACCCCTGGCCTCCACAGTGCTAACTCCATTTCCCCTTTGAGTGGCTGGTCTCCGTAAGACACACAGACCTATTACTGACTCTTGACTTTTCTCTCCCCCGGGTCTGCAGGTTGCTCTGGAAATGCTGCTGCTGCGGAAGCCAGTCAGGTTAAAATGTCATCCTTTAGCAAATTACCACTATGCCGGTAGGTTGCCAGGAGCCCTGTGCCCTGTTGCCTCCTGACAGTGGGTTGCTTGCATGTTTGGTTGTGTCACTTTCTGGTAATAGATAACACTGGCCGGGCGCAGTGGCTCAAGCCTGTAATCCCAGCACTTTGGGAGGCCGAGACGGGTGGATCACGAGGTCAGGAGATCGCGACCATCCTGGCTAACACAGTGAAACCCCGTCTCTACTAAAAAATACAAAAAACTAGCCGGGCGAGGTGGCGGGCGCCTGTAGTCCCGGCTATCGGGAGGCTGAGGCAGGAGAATGGCGTGAACCCGGGAGGCGGAGCTTGCAGTGAGCTGAGATCCGGCCACTGCACTCCAGCCTGGGCGACAGAGCGAGACTCCGTCTCAAAAAAAAAAAAAAAAAAAAAGATAACACTGGTTCTGTCCTAATCACCACTTGTGATCTCAAGGTCTCCTAAGGCAGAGCTATGTCTGTTGCTTTGGCACTGTTGGCATTTTGTCTGTTGGCGTAAGCTCCTGCCCCTTGTGGGTGTGCCAAGACCTGGGTGATAGTGGCCAGTGCCTGCACATGTGGCAAGGAGACTAGTGCATGAGACCGGAGAGAGCCACAGAAGGTACAATCAGCAGCCCCCTGGTTTTGGAAATCAGTAGCCATGGGTTCAGATTCTACTGTACCCCTTGGCCAAGTACCATGGTCTTCTGCAGCCTTGGTTTTCTCACCTGTAAAATGAGACTTGTATTCCATCCCTTATAGTGTTTTTGTGAGATTAGAGATGGTATATGTAGCCCAATGCCTGGCACATCCTAATAGCATTTATTACTCATTTATCCAACAATTATTTTTTGAACACTTACTGTGTACAAGGGACTTGCTAAACACTGACATGCATCAGTGACTATGACAGACATGGACAGAGTCCCATGTTGTACAGCTCAGAAGCTCTGAGGAGGAGGCAGTTATTAAATAATGGATCACACTGACAGGAAAGACTTCATACACGCAGGGTTTTGTATGTGAATTAATGACAATACCACAAAAAGAGGGAAGTAGAAGACACCTTCAAGACTGAAATGGACTGAGAATTGTGAAGAGTGAAGGAAATAGGTTGGAGAGCCTAAGAAGTGACCAGTGACACTGAGGTCAACATTTTCATTTCCATGTACTAACTGTTCCTTCTGGGGGTCTCCGCGAAGCTACACTGGTTCTTTATTTTGGAGGGGGCTGAATTTTCAGTGCCTCTTGATTTTTAATCACTTGAGGGTTTTTTTGGTGCTCTGGGCAGACCCTGCCTAGGCAGGTGCCAAATATGTGGGCTTGGGGACCTAGCTATACCTTTTCCAGTCTTTGGTCCGGGCAGCCCAGTGAGGGCTTCTGTACAAATACTAGCTTGCTTTCTCCACCAATATTTGCCTCACCTACTGTGCTCCTCCTCTTTCATGAACGAGCCTTCCTACCTGTCATCACAAGGTAGACCTCAAAGCCCTTCTTCTGAGGACAGTAAGCCCAAGATGTCTGCGTGTAGGTCACTCCTGGAACTAGGCCAGTACAGAGTAGATATATGGAATAAGAAATTCATCGCTTCTCCGGTGGCCTAAAGGAGCCAGCTTCTTAATGTTGTCTCCATCATTTCCTGCTTGGTGTCTGTCCCAAGTGTGGGTAGAAAGATTTAGGAGTTCCCCCTAATCTGCCATGGAAACAGTTCAGTCCTCTCTCTTAATTTCCAGCATCATCTGCTGCCCATTGAACCCTGAGAGGCTGTCCAGCCTCCTGGAGCCTGTCTCAAGCTTCTTTGCATGATGGTGGGCCAGTGGATTGGCTAAAAGGAGTTTCCCAACCATGTGCTGTGAGGTGCTGCTGCCCTCAGCCCTCAGAGTGGCTGGGGTCACCGGAGCCTCTGGGCTGGTTAGCGCCAGCTGTGAGCAGCTTCATCTGGGATACAGTTCTCCTCTGGTTTTTCCAAGTGTACCAAACAAGTATTTTATGTGTATCATGACATTAAAAAGGTCAGAAAGCTGTGTACTAGGAACACCACACACCCCAGTCAAAACAAAATAAAAACACTAAAATGTTACCAAAAACTTTGAAACAAAAAGGCCCTAAACTCTGCAACAATTAATTGATCTCTTGAGGTTAGGGGATTCTAGCTAATTCCTTGCCTGTCCCTTGCCCCCTTCCCCAGCTGGCAGACCAGGAAGGACTCTGCTGTTTTCTGCAATCATTTCAATCCTTGGAGGCAAAAGAGGTAGAGCTAAGCTGTGAAGGGTTGACGTCTCCAAGAGAAGTGTACTCGTCTATGTTTGCCAGTCACTTGCCTTCTCTGGGAAGTGATGATGGACTGGGACCCAGAGAATTTTCTAGAAGTATGAGCAAAAAGGGCAGAGGTCACTGGTCTCTAAAGTCTGACCCAAAACAATCTCCTTAACAGTTTCCTTCTAAGCCACAGGGGAGGCAGCAGAGTCTTCCCCATCACATGCCCCAGCCACCACCTCCTTCCCCCACTGCTGAACCCCCTCATTTGCTTCCTAGGTGTCAGCGAATCCCATCTCTATGGCCACATTCTGCTTTGGCCTTTGTGCTGAGCCCTGTTGGGTTGCTCCCCAGTAGTGACTGCCTGTTGGCTTAATTGCCACCTTGCTGGGACCCTATCTTCTGGATCTCCTTTGGCTCCTGACTCTGTGGCTGTGGCCAGTGTCACCCATCCTGAGTCCCAGCCCCAAATTTTCTCTCCAGGCTCCTAGTTATCTGGAGAGGGAGTTCAGGTTTCCCAAGCCTGCCTGAGCCTGTCCATGTCAGGGAGGGAGGCTGTAAGTTTGGGGAGAAAGACAAAGACACAGGCCTATGAAAATCACTTCTTTACTTTACTCATTATCTTCCCTTTCCCACCCATTCCAAGTCATTCATTAAGAAAAGGAAGAAGTGACTAGTGCTGGGACCCAGGAGAGATGTGCTATAGGGGAAGGACTGATGTGGTGGGCAACTCGCCCAAAGCTGCTTGCCAAGGCCACATGAACCCTGTACAGGATCCTCAGAGGAAGGTTCTGTTGCGGTGGCTCCTGGCGCTCAACCCACACCACGATGCACAGTCCAGCCCTCTGTTGCTCTCAGCACCCTCCCACCCATGTGTGGTTAGCAGTTGTGTGCAGTGGTTCCCAATTAGCACTTGGGTTGGGAAGGGCCAAGCATGGGGGAGTCAGGGTGGAGAGGAAGCCTGGTTGTGATTCGCTGGATTGCAGCGTGCTTGACTTTTTTCATTGAACTGGTCATTCCTGCAGATGGGTGAAGAGTGGAGGGGTGTTAGAACTGACCCTGGCTTCTTGGCAAGTATTCAACAGAGTCTACTTATTGGCCCTGAGCACAGCCCAAACACCTATTGAGTCCTGAAACCCTAACCTGAGTTGTGGAGATGGAGGAGACCTGGAGGAATTACTCATTCTGTTGGAGAGGACTGGTCTCTTCTGCCTTGGAAGCTGCTCCAGTTAGATGAGGAGACAGAATTACATGCTCAAAAGAGTAATTTGCAAGAAGCACAGCTGTGATTTCATTTCCCAGGCATCCTTAGCCTGTGTCTGTAGGTAGACAGTGGTCCCCTCAAGGGTAGGACTGAGTTAATACTCTTTTACCTTGCCTAACACGGCACTAGTTTAAATTTAAAAAAAAAAAACAAAAAAAAAAACAAATTGCCTAGTGGACAAGCTCAAATTCTGGATTCAGATTGAGGCTTCCCCCTTTTTACCCACAGAGAAAACTTTGGTAGCAGCCTTCTTCACCTTGCACCCCCCAAAAAATTACTCAACCTTCACCCACTATTGAAAACCCTGTGTGGAAATGAAAATCTGGTGTAAAAACAGTCCTCCTTTTTCTACAATGAACATGTCTGTCTTGTGTAACTACAAAACATTATCAATGGGGCCAGGAATGGTGGCTCATGCCTGTAATCCCAGCACTTTGGGAGGCCAGGGCGGGCAGATCACTTAAGTTCAGGAGTTCGAGACCAGCCTGGCAAACATGGTGAACCCCCATCTCTACTAAAAATACAAAAATTAGCCAGGCATAGTGGTGCATGCCTGTAATCCCAGCTACTTGGGTGGATGAGCAAGAGAGTTACCTGAACCCGAGAGGCATAAGCTATAGTGAACGGAGATCACACCACTGCACTCCAGCCTGGGTGACAGAGTGAGACCCTGTCTCAAAAAAAAAAGAGAAGAAAAAAATTATTAATGGAAGTTTTAAGAAAGAAAGTCCCTCTGAAAGATACTGTGTCCAAACTTTCTCTCACCCCTCCATGTCTCTTTTTAATTGCCCGGGTTCACTGTAGATTGCCCCCAAATTAACCACAGTCCAGAGACTGTTTCCCAGCAACCGAAGGTCAGAACAGTTTTCCTCTGGATACTGTTCCAGCACCGTTTCATCCAGTTAATTAGGTTCTTTGTAATTAGCCTTAATCGTCTTGTTAGGGGCCCCTGCTGGTAATAGCCCAATAGCCAGGAATCCCCAGGTAGAACAAATGAGTGCGGGGGGACTCTCAACCCACGAACCCTGTGTGCATGCTGAGTAGGCAGCAGGGATCCTAGAGAGAAGGGAGGGTGTAGGGGGCTAGTTGAAGGATAGGGGAGGATTTGAGGCAACCCCCTGCCTTAGTTTTGTGTTTTATCCTGGACTTTGTCCAAGATGCAAGATCTAAGAAGGGCCAGCTTAGAACCTTGTCTAAGAATGAGGAACTTGTCCCTGTCAGACTCCAGGAAAGACAGACATCTGAGCCTTTCCTTAACTTCAGATTACAGAGGGATTTTGGAGGCAGGAAGGAGAAGACTATGGATATAATAAGCAGCCAGGAGTGAGACTGTGGATAAGAAATACACAGAACAAGAAACAGGTTGTCTTGGATGCTACTGTCCACGTATCAGCAGGGGCGGCATATGTCTCATAGCCCTGGGCTGATTTGGAATCTGCTCTCCAGGTGCCCAGTGAAGGTTCAAAACATGTATCAGACACTTAGGACCAAACCTGTCAGTCACGGAGTGACTGCCACCCTCCCCATGTCACATGGGGAAACTGAGACTCAGAGAAGTTAAGTAGGCTTGCCTGGGATCACAGAAGGAGTAAGTAGCAGAACCAGGTTCACAACCTAAGGTGACTAAAATCACACTTTTTATCACAGTTCAGTGATATTATTTGGGGAAAACACATTCATATGTTACTTATCTGTCTGAGGCTTTAGCCTGGGAATTCAATCCAAGAGCCCAGGGATGGACTCTTAGCCTCAGTGGGCAATCCTGTGACCAGGAAGCCAGCTCTAGTGTGAGAATGGATTTGTTGCCCGGCCAAGCCTCTGTCCCTCAATTTGTGAACACCCTGTTGAGCAGACATTAACACATGCACACACACAGTACTGTCATTTGCACCAAAGCACAGACCCTAGGACTATGCAGAAGAACCACCTCTTACTCTCTTAAGAGAGTACTCCCTGACCCAGCCCTGTATCCCTTGGAATGGGAGAGTCGCATAGAGGGGCAGGGAGAACATGCAGCCCACTCCAGCTCAGTACGAGTTGTACAGAATGCCCATTCCAGAATCAGGAAGCCGCCAAATCCAGTGTCAGAGCAGCAGTCTTAAAAACCACCAGGAGTCAACAGGGAGAAGGTCTCCTTCCCCCACGAGGTTTGGGGATCCCTCCTAACAGATGGGCAGGAAGTTACTTCACCTGTGGAGTTGCATCTGGCAAGCAATTTGGAAACATGAAGGGACATGCTGCTCAGAAATCGACAGGCCAGGGAACGGAACACTGCTTTTGGGGCCAGAAATCAGGTAATGAGCCTGGCAGGTAGAAAAAAGTATATCCACTGCAGCGACTGGCAGAGAAGGCTAGATGGCCCTGTTAGTGTCTTGTCATGTCTTAGAGCTACACTCTAACTTAGGAAACTGATGATCTGGCTGAGGTTGGAAAGAATTTCATTGATCTAGTTGAGGGTTTCATCAGCAAAATGTCTCCTGATTCCCCATTGGAGGTGCAACTGAGGGCCACACAGATTCTGGACCTGCAGCAGGGCAGCGGAGCAACCTCTGTGTAAGCTCGCGTGAGTCAGCTGGTATGACAGACTGCCATTGTGGTCTTTCTTCCGTCATTATCTTTCTGACTCCTCTTACCCGTTTGCTCTTTTGGTGGATACCTAAAAGGAACCATGATTGTTGTTTGGTTGTTGAGCTGAATTGTTGGTTATTCTTTTCTGTGTCCCTCTTTCTGCCTCTGTTCCTGGGTAAGGGGACCCCAAGGCTTTGAATGTTGGACAGAATTTGAAGAATGGTGATGGAAGTGCTATAAAGCCTCAAATCCCACCAGCCCCCTGTGCTCACATGCACTCCGGCAAGGATTCTCCAAACCCACAGCCGCCCTGAGGCTCCCTGTTACTGTGGTCTGCACAGCCAGAGCTGTCTAGTCCTCTGGAACCCATGGAAGATGACTCCCTTCTGCTGAGGATTCATGAGAAAGCTGCTTTCCTTCTAGAAGTAAAGAGATAAGTTTGCAGCTGGGCACAGTGGCGCACATCTGTAATCCCAGCACTTTGGGAGGCCAAGGCAGGCGGATCACTTGAGGTCAGGAGCTCAAGACCAGCCTGGCCAACTTGGTGAATCCCCGTCTTTGCTAAAAATACAAAAATTAGCCAGGTGTGGTGGCACACACCTGTAATCTCAGCTACTCAGGAGGCTGAGGCAAGAGAATCACTTGAACCCAAGAGGCAGAGGTTGCAGTGAGCTGAGATCTTTTCACTGCACTCCAACCTGGGTGACAGAGCAAGACTCCATCTCAAAAAAAAAAAAAAAAAAAGTTTGCAAACCAAATAAATTGGGTGGTCGCCCTGCTTTTGTAGACATCTGACCCCACCCAGCTGTGGAAGGCATATTCTGAGTCTGGAGCCAAAGCTCCTGGCTTGAGGACCCATCAAAGAGCTGCACAAGGAAGTTGTTTATTTCAGAAATGTGAGTTTACGTCACTGAGCCATATATTTTCCTAAGGACCCTAGGCTCCCCACCTGTGGTCTAAGGAGGCCTCTGCCTACCTAGAGCATTTTCGCCTGATTCACTTATTTTGGCCAAACCCTACAAGGGAAGTGATTAGGGTTTCCTGTACTGCAGCCCCATCAGTTGACCATAGCAAAATGGAAACCTTGGACTTGCCCGGAAAGGGAGGAAAGATATTATGGTTTGGGGTACTAGTGTACCCCACTAATGAAGTATAGTGAGGTGGGGTACTAGTGTACTCCACTGATGAAGTGTAATGAAAGATTTGGTCTGGGGTACTAGTGTACGCCACTAATGAAGTCTAGAGAAGTGTAGTGAGGTCAGAGCCTTGGCCGAATACCATCCAAAGAACCAGAGATGTGGAGAATTCAGCAGGCCAGAAGAACAAGACTGAGTTTTCTCTGAACCAGCCGCAGTGGTGGAACCTTCCCTAGAGCCTCCAGAAATAGGAGTCCCCTTAGAAGTAGACCTTATTTCTTGCCCCAAACAAGCCAGTACCATTTTATATTATTATCTGCATATCCTGCTTTCTTTCGTGGAGGAAAAAGACATAAATATCAGGTTTAGCCAGTAAGGCAGATGCACCAGCCCAGCAGTGAGGCCTCTCCCTCTTCGGTCAGCAAGTCCATCAAGAACTGGCTCCACTCACCTCTCCAGCTTCATCTGCTTCTGCTGGAACAGTATACTTGAACCAGATTGGATTACTAGTCATTCTTTGGAAACCTCCATTTCCTCATCTGTCAAATGGGCTCATCATCATAACAATCTTACAGGATTGTTAGTAGAACCTGATGATGAATAACTGAAGTACTTAGAACCTGCCACATAGTAAGCACTTAGAAATGTTAAGCTATTTTTCCTAGCACAGCGTCTTGCTTGTAATATACACCTAATAAATACCTGTTGAATGAATGACTGAAGTGCATGACTTCACTCTTGCCTCTGACTTTGCATATCCTGCTTCCTCTCACCAGAATACTCTTCCATCTCCTTATTGCCTGACTTGCTTCTATATGACCTTTAGAACTCAACTCAGATGTTTTCTCTACCTGGAAGCCCTCCTGGCTGCCCTGGCCCTAACCTGAATGTGGTGTTTCTCCTTCGTGCCCTAAGGACACCTCACCTTTACCTGGATAGTTACAGTTACCACCTTGAACGTCATGACCTACTTGTTTGTCTCCCCAGTAGATTGTGCGCATCTCGAGGGTAGAGGGTGAATCCAGCCACACCCTGAAGGGTACTTGCTACATGAATGCTTGCACTTGTGAATATGATAATTACATTAAAACTGTCCCTAAAATGTGTTGAATGCTCTTTGTTTCCCAGTGATGATGCTGGGCACTTTTTGTGCATTATCTTCTTTAAGTTTCACAAAAATCCTAATCAGTGGAGGCAATTATAATTATTCCCAATTGTAGGTAACAAAACAGGCTTAGGATGAGTAACTTGCCAAGGTCAAGGCCATAGCTGAGACTTGAACCCAGGTATCAGAGCTCCTAACCATTATATCACACTATGTTTTTGTTCAAATGGGAATTTGATATGTATTATGTCACTTGCTCTGTAGTTGTATTTTGTAACTTAACTAAATGAACCAGCAACTAAAAGCAAGGGGAACTGTGAGATGTTCTTATGAGGTTTGTGTTTTGTTGTAGGTTCGGACAAGTGGACCTCCCTAGAAAGAAAACTGTTTAACAAAGCACTAGCCACTTACAGCAAAGACTTTATTTTTGTACAGAAGATGGTAAGCATGATTTTTCCCATTGCCCCGTTGAAGTTAAACTTGGGAAATTGTACACAAAAATATTTAGAAATATTTGGATACTGGTTTAAGATACTTACAAAAAGGATGTCTTCCACACTCGCTGGTGAGGATGGTAGTGGATATAGGGGTGGTATGGCCCCAGTGTTAGGACTGTGGGAGGGAGAGGACAGGGGAAAGAAGGCATAGATTATCTGGACACTGCAGTGGTGCGGTGTTATTTTCTATCTTAATAAAAATGTGTAATTCATAATTCTATCAGAATAATGAGAATTGGGCTCCTGGTTCATAATTTACATAATTTATTTTATTTATTTATTTATTTATTTATTTTTATTTTTCAAGATAGTTTCACTCTGTTGCCCAGGCTGGAGTGTGGTGGCATGATCTTGACTCACTGCAGCTTCTACCTCCCAGGTTCAAGCAATTCTCCTGCCTTAGCTTCTAGAGTAACTGGGATTACAGGCACGCACCACCACTCCTGGCTAATTTTTGTATTTTTAGTAGAGACGGAGTTTTACTATGTTGGCCAGGCTGGTCTTGAATTCCTGACCTCAAGTGATCCACCTCCCTCAGCCTCCCAAAGCATTGGGATTACCGGCATGAGCCACTGTGCCTGGTCATACATAATTTATGTATATTTGACAGATCTACCACATTTCTGACAGAGTTTTTTTCTGGGTAACTGGGGAGAGGAGAACATGTGGCCTCCCTCTACCCAGTAGCATGGTTTCTGGTGTTGAACTCCTATTTTTAACGACAGTAATAATAAAAATACCTTGCATATACAACATTCTAAAGCAAAATAAAACTTTCCATAGATGAAATAGCACTTTATACAACAGATACATTTATTGACTTTATTGGCTGAGAGATGGTTTAGCATAAAAAATTAAAAGCATTCAAAGAGTGTTTCAACAAACTGATGAATGATGGAGCCATATTGTGTTAAAGCCATTTAAGACTGTTCGGGTACACAGAGAACAGGGCCACAGGTCACAGCACCCACTGGCCCCTGGCTGAGACAGATGGTCCTCAGAGGTGTCCTAGCGTGGCATGTCTCCTGTTGTCAGGCTAGGGCCTTGCCTGGGCAAGCGTGAGAAGCACACTTAGAGGACTTTGTCTCTAACTTGCCTCCGCCTCCATGTCTGCATTTGCCCCTGCCTTGCCCTTGACGGCCGCCATGCCCTTGCTGCCCCGTGTGCCCAGCAGCCCTCATGTTGCATCTTTCTGGAGTCACCCTCCCCCCCAGGATTGGCCTGGCATAGACCTCAGTCCTTTAGGCCCCACACTTTCAACTGATGATGGATTCGTGTATTGAGCTTACCAGGCGACATGAGTTTTAACCCAGGGCTCTCTGGGACGGACACTATCCTCACTCCCTCAGGTGATTCTAGTGTGGAAATTCCAGGTGTCAGGGGGATGAGAAGGAGGCAACTTTGAGGAGACAGGGCTTCATCTCACCATGTGGGTGGCCTTGTTCCCACCGTCAGGGGTAAGGCCAGCCTTTAATCTGCCACCAGCAAACCGACATTATTACACCTCGTCTGATCGTAGAGCATATGAACTAAAGAAAGGAATGTTTTTGCTTTAAGATGCATAGACCTGGCCGGGCGTGGTGGCTCACGCCTGTAATCCCAGCACTTTGGGAGGCTGAGGTGGGCGGATCACGAGGCCAGGATATCGAGACCATCCTGGCTAACACAGTGAAACCCCGTCTCTACTAAAAATACAAAAAATTAGCCAGGCGTGGTGGCAGGCACCTGTAGTCCCAGCTACTCGGGAGGCTGAGGCAGGAGAATGGAGTGAACCCAGGAGGCGGAGCTTGCAGTGAGCCGAGATTGCGCCACTGTACTCCAGCCTGGGCGACAGAGCGAGACTCCGTCTCAAAAAAAATCTGGAATGATACCCAAAGAAAGTAATGCAAGGGGCTACCTGTGTTGCAGGTTGAGGGGTAAGGACAGGTGTGGGAAGGAGGCCTTTCACTGTGTACATTTTTTTCTTGAACTATGCAAACTTGTTTATTACTTATTACAAAATTAAATATTCAAAAATGCTTGCTGCCTTTGCTGTCTGCCCATTGCTGGAGCTAACCTTGATCTCGCTTTCCCGGCAGGTGAAGTCCAAGACGGTGGCTCAGTGCGTGGAGTACTACTACACATGGAAAAAGATCATGCGGCTGGGGCGGAAACACCGGACACGCCTGGCGGAAATCATCGACGATTGTGTGGTGAGTGAAGCCGCTAGGTTGTTGCTTGTGCTGGCACAGCTCCCACCCCAGGCCCAGGTTAGTAAGTAGCTGGTGTTCGGTTTGGCTTTGCTGCCAAGATAGCAGGAGGAAGGAGGTGACAACAGCCCAGCTCCCCTGCAGGATTCAGGACCTGCCCTCCTGAGTAGGTAGAGGAAAGATGTCCATAGGTTTGGCCTGTAGCTCAGTGTTCAGATACAGAGGTGAGGGCTGGTGCCCGCTTCAAGGCAGCTAGGAGCCAGAAGAGTTAAACCAAGGATGGTCCCAGCCTTGGGTTTGTTGGTTTATGATTGGGTGGTATCCTGACCCCCTGGAATATTCTTTTCTGATCTTTCCATGTCACAGATGCTACTGAACTGAGCCCATAACATGCCTCAGAAAGGGTCCCTGGGATTTTGCCACAGTCTGTAAAGCATGAGCAAGAAGAGCTTTGACTTCTAGGTAGTGCCAGGAACCCTCCATCACTGAGGAACTAATTTGCTGCATGTAGACGCTTCTAATCCTTACATCACCATTTATCCCTGGTATTGATTTCCTTCATTAGCAGACAGTCCACAGTCAACTGCACATTAAGTATGTACCAAAGACACAACAAGACCTAAATAGTCTCTGAACCCTGTATGTGTTGCTTTGGTGATTACTATCACTTGTGATCCTTGCAATTAACTCTCCACCCTGCATCCATAGCCACAGGAAAGCTCCTTTTCACACCCTGTGGAAAACATTACCTACAGTGTGTGTGTATATAAAAATTATGTATTACATTACTGAACTCTAGCTTGTGTCACCATCAGTGAAAGTATTGGGAATTCATGAATTATGTAAATATTTGAAATTATATTTTCATTCCCAATTGTGCCCCAGTTGTAAGGGTTAGCACATGTATGTGTGTCATTTTCTTTAACAGACAATGAAATAGCAGTTTTCATGGGCTAGGCATTGTGTTAGGGACTTTATAAATATTGACTCATTTAATCCAATGTAATTCATTTAATACCAATTCTATGCAGTAGGAAACTGAGGCACAGAGCTTAAGTAAATTGGCCATAGTCACATAGCTGCTGAGTATGTTGTTGAGCCTGATTCCCTTGTGTAGTTAAGAGCAGTGATATGCAAATTTTCTTTTGTTTGTTTGAGACAGGGTCTCACTTAGTCACCCAGGCTAGTGTGCAGTGGCACAATCATAGCTCACTACAGCCTCAACTTCCTGGGCTCCAGTAGTCCTCCCACCTCGTCCACCGGAGTAGCTAGGACTACAGGCACACACCACAACGCCCCACTCATTTTTTAATTTTTTGTAGAGGCAACGTCTCACTGTGTTGTCCAGGCTGGTCTCGGACTCCTGAGCTTAAGCAGTCCTCCTGCCTTGGCCTCCCAAAGTGCTGGGATTATAGGCTCAGGCCTGTAATCTCAGGCCACTGCACCTGGCCACACATTTTCTTAAAGAATTATAAAAAATTTGGACTTGGCCAGGCACAGTGGCTCAAGCCTGTAATCCCAGCAGTTTGGGAGGCCAAGGTGGGCAGATTACCTGAGGTCAGGAGTTCAAGACCAGCCTGGCCAACATGGTGAAACCTATTTCTAATAAAAATACAAAAAATTAGCCAGGCATGGTGGCACACACCTGTAATCCCAGCTACTTGGGAGGCTGAGGCAGGAGAATTGGTTGAACCCGGGAAGCAGAAGTTGCAGTGAGGCGAGATCACACCATTGCACTCCAGCTTAGGCAACAAGAACAAAACTCCGTCAAAAAAAAAGAAATTTAGGCCAGGCGTGGTGACTCACGCCTGTAATCCCAGCACTTTGGGAGGCCAAGACAGGCAGATCATGAGGTCAGGAGATCAAGACCATCCTGGCTAACATGGTGAAACCCTGTCTCTAATAAAAATACAAAAAATTAGCCGGGCATGGTGGCGGGCACCTGTAGTCCCAGCTACTCGGGAGGCTGAGGCAGGAGAATGGTGTGAACCCAGGAGGCGGAGCTTGCAGTGAGTCAAGATCGCACCACTGCACTCCAGCCTGGGCAACAGAGCGAGACTCGGTCTCAAAAAAAAAAAAAAAAACAACTTTTGGACTCATTAATGCTTCAAAGCCTATGCTTCTAACTAATAATTGATCCTTGCTATTAAATATACATACATATATACATTTATGTTAGAGCCTAAATATCAGAGAAAATAGAAATCTGTAGAATAGAATGGTATTGCCATTTTTTCAATCAGAGATGGCAGTATTCTATATTCAGGATTTCTTGTGACCAGGGCTTTTGTTTGACTCGTAGTGATGTATGATATCAGAATAAGTAGTGATGTATGATATCAGAATAAGTAGTGATGTATGATATCAGAATAGTCTTTTGCTCGTCTGTGGCCTAATGTTTAAAAAAACAGTGTGATCGCCTAGGCACTGTGGCTCACCCCTGTAATCCTAGCACTTTGGGAGGCCAAGGCAGGCGGATCACGAGGTCAGGAGATCAAGACCACCCTGGCCAACATGGTGAAACCCCATCTGTACTAAAATACAAAAAATTAACTGGACGTGGTAGTGCATGCCTGTAGTCCCCGCTACTCGGGAGGCTGAGGCAGGAGAATTGCCTGAACCCGGGAGGTGGAGGTTGCAGTGAGCAGAGATTGCACCACTGCACCCCAGCCTGGGCAACAGAATGAGACTACATCTAAATTTAAAAAAAAACAAAAAACAAAAAACACAACAACAACAACATTATGATCTCCTCCAGTTCAGTCAACTAAAAGCAGTTGAACTCCCCCAATGTAAACAGCAATGTGTATGTAGTGCTGTGGGCAACCCGAGGATGTTAAATGACCCCTCCCTCCTCTCCCCCCACCACACAGAACATATGTCCTTGTTGGGAAGATACAACATATGTAAGTGGAAATACACCACGAACTCCAAGAGTGTTTAAAAGCAGTATGCAGTGAGAACCAGGAAGTCTTAGATGGAGCCTTAAGGACTCTTTCACCCAATTTCACCATTTTACAGGCAGAAAGTTGAGACCCCGAGAGAGGAAGGGGCTTGCCCCAGGTCACACAGAGCATTGCTTTCCAAATGAGTAGAAGAGACAGTAAACAAGGAAGCACAAAGATTCCTAGCCTTGAAGACCTAGGCTTGCTAGCCTGTAAAATGGCCAGATGATTTAAATGATTTAGAAAGTCCTTTCCAATTCTGGAATGTTCTGGGCTCTGTCAGTGCCATGTTTTGGAAGAGGGGCAAAATCAGAGAATATGGTCTTCCGAGGTAAATTGGTGTATCTTAGGCTTGGGCGTTATCAAGTGCCTAGGACAGAGCCTGGCATAATACAGTCACTCAGTAAATGTTCCTTAAATGAATGGGTGAATATTTTTCGAAGATAGGAGTTGCTCTGATTCATAAACATTCCTTCTGTGAATTCACTGGAGGGAGATGGAATGAACAAGGGGATGCTGAGCAGAGGAGTGACACTAACAAAGATGTTTCCACACAAGGCAGAGGCACCGTCTTGGACTGCGTGGGCTTTGAAGATGGGTAGGAAGGCCCAGGCCAGCATGAAGCTTCAGATGAAGGAGGAGAGGGTAAGAGGGTGCCCGAGGGGCCACACCCTCTTGGGTTTATTCACCAGGAGCCAGTATTAGGCTGGGCCAGGAGTGTCCACACCCTGGTTACTTGTGAGCTTAGGGAGAGCAAAAGGCTTATGTGCAAAGATGACTCAGGCCCACAAAAAGAACAAGAAAATCTTGATTAAAAGCCAGTATGGCAGCTCACAGGGGCTTTGTGGGCACTGTGTGCACAGTCAGCCTTCTAAGCATAGTTTGCCAAGTGGAGATGAAAAACTGGGATCATGGGGATCCTGGGGAGGGTGCACCTGGGGAGGGTGTGCAAGGCACAGTCCTAGGATGTGGTCCTACTCTTTGTCCTCGGGGCCTGTCTGGGACACCTGGAATAGCTCTTCTGATCATGTGTCTTCAATGTTTTACGAAAGGGCGGGTGACCATTTCCCTGCAGATGGAACATGAAGGAACATGCTCAGGTGGTTCAGGGATTATTGAGGACTTGAGAGACGGGGAAAGAAGGAGGTTTGAAAGGAATGATTGCCCTTTAGCTAAGTAACCAGGAGGTCAACAGAGCATAGCTCCTCACTCAGCAGGGGCAGGGTGACTGGAAGCAGAGGAAGGGAGCCAAGATGGGTTCTGTTAATGAGGTGAGAGGAGAAGGTGCTGGCCACACCTTCCTGTCCCCTGCCTGTGCTCATGCTCCCCAACTCAGGACAAATATATGGGGCTGGCTGTGACCAAAAATTAGCACAATTCAAGGAACCAACTGAGGCAGTTAACTGACTGTGGAAAACAGCAATCAGGGCTCCAAGGGCAAAGGTAGAACTCACAATGATGTCAGCACAGTTACCTACAGCACAGTCCATTGACAAGGGCCTTGGGAAACATCCTCCTTCCCTTTGACATTTCAAAGCAGCTGGTTCCAATGATATTGAGAGGTTTAGGATCTCTAAGCTATTTCCAGATAGACAAACATGTACCTGTGGACATTTGCAGCCAGACCAAGGAGTGAAGAAGGTTGAAGTGTTGGAATAAGATAAGGCCAGATTTTGAATCTCAGTTCAACTTTTTTACTAGCTGTGTGACCTTGAGAAACTTATTTCTTGGGTCGATTTCCTCATTTGTTTAAAAATGAAAAAATTTTACAGTGTTATGAGAACTAGAAATTGTGTGTGTGTGTGTGTGTGTGTGTATGTTTGTGTGTGTGAAATGCATGATTCTCAGCAGGCATTCAATATTGTCATCATCATCATTATTATTAGCGACTGGTACACACAAATTTGTGTCTTTGAGCAGATTTGGGTTGTTGAGCATTTGTATTCTGACTTACTAATTTCTCATAATATGAATTCCATTTGCATGTCTGAGAAATAAAAATCTCCTCCTCCTCAAGAAACTCTTATTGTGGACACTCGAGGTTCTGAGCACCATGTTAAATGTATAGCCTCCTCCCCACCCCCATATTTGCCCGCCTTCTAATTTTGGAATATACTAAATGTTTTGTTTCACAATATATCATAAAATGACCAACTTGTTGATACAAAGTTCTACATGTTAAGATTTCTGTTCTTGTATCTTTGTATCTCTTAGTCACTTTGGTGAGCCATATGGCTTGATGATAAATCATTTTGTGATTTATAGATTGCCAGTTGAAATAAAACCTATCTAAATTCTGGAGACATACATAATCATGGTACAGTGTAATTTATAATGTTGTGGCTGTATGGAACATTTCTTCTAAGAATGTTTAAGCCAAACAATGGCATTGTGAGAAAATTGTCATTATAACAAATACAAATGGCATTGTCATTTGTTGTGTGTAATTATTTTTAAGTGCCAAACTATAGACCATGGGCTACTTAATGTTTGAGACCACAAAGTCCCAGTTTGACATAACAAGGTTTTGCCTGAAACTCTTTGGGACAGAAAGATGGTGGAGTCCTACAGGAATAAGACCACCTAAGTGAAATCAGCCTGTATGTTCTATGCTAGTAAGAGGCTGGCTGCTTAGATCATAAACCACTTTGTCAAATGTACTAGGCCTACATCAGTGTTCACTGAGGTCTTCTAACAAATGTGATCATTACTAATTAATCCTGTTTACCAGTGGAAACTGGAGCCATTTCTTAAATACACCCTGTTCCTACTGCATCGCAAGTGTACATGTATGTGATATTAAATAAGGACAATACTGAAACAATGAGGGGCTACTAAATGCCACACACATACTGGCATTGTCTCTCTCTCACACACACACACACACACACACCCACCCCAAATCCAAACTGCAGAGAGGAAGCTTGTGTTTTCTGGTTCCTAGGGTATCATTACTTTCAGAAATCTGTATCTTTCTTGGAAAGTCTTGCTTCTGGGCTTTAAGAATCATAGACTCCCCAGAGTTCCATCACTGTGGGGGTAGAGTAGACTGGAGTCCATGTGCATTAAGTGATGAGTTATGCAGAGAGCCTGGCAGAGACAAATGACTTGCCAGGTCAGGGGCAGCTGGACATGCCTTTTCCTTGCTCGTTTGTAAAATGAGAGGACTGTTTGCAGCCTATTCGGTGGCATGGTAAATGTGAAAGCACTTTGTAAACTGTAAAATGAAAGCTGAAATGAGGCTGATTGGTCCTCAGCCCTTTCGGGGTCTGCAGGAGCCAGCAACTCTCACCCCTACCCTGGGAAGGATGGAAAGAGCAGAATATAGTTAAGCAAGGGGAGAATGAGAGCCTCCTGGATCCCCGCCCTTCCATCCCAGCACACCCAGGCCACCCACTCCAAGCTATTCCAGTAACTTACTATTCTGTTAACCTTGAGGAGAGCAAGGACCTTCTGCTTAATTCTCCCCATGGCTGCTGTTCTGAAGTGGGGAGAGGGGCCATAGAAGCAGAGGAGATCATTATTCATAGGAAATGTTTTTCTTGTTCTTTTTCATTAAATGCCTCTGGTAGGGGAAAATGAATAAATAGAAACATTAAATACACTGCTTTTTCTAAGCCCATGGTCAGAGACAAAAGGAAAAGCACATGATAAATAAAAGGGAATTTCCCCTTCCATATTCTCTCCTTTAATTCTATTTTCTGACAAGACCAGAGTGGAGCGCCCCTTCTGTCACGTGCTTTCTGCCCGCCACAGGTCAAATCCAGCATCTTGCAGAGTGGTGTTATAAAGCCTCTAAAACACATCAGCACATGTCCTCCTTTAGTCTCTCTGCTTGCATGGTATTGTATTGCTGGAAAACCCTCTTCACCGCTGTGAGGAGACAGAGCTACTCACAGGCAGGGCGCAGCCTGCGTTTTAGTCATTTTAAGATCTAATGGTCTTGAACAAGGCGGGGAATCCTTGCATGTAGAAATTGTTCCTTTCTGCCTCACCATATCTTTGTATAAGTGATGAGGGTCCCAAAATGGGGCAGGGGACTTACTTCCTTGACCTCAAAGTCCTAAGCATCCTGAGACCAACCTTTCTGGGATCACGCCTAGCAGGCTCTGTCCGCCATTCCTTATGCAGAAAGAAAGGAACACAGTGCCAGCATCCAGCCCCTCTCTCTCCTGTTGATCTGTGAGTTCTGTTCATCACTAAGAATGCCATTTGGGGATTTTCCCCTCTTGCTTTTATTACCTTAACACTAGACAAGTGAAGAAGAAGAAGAGTTAGAGGAGGAGGAGGAGGACCCGGAAGAAGATAGGAAATCCACAAAAGAAGAAGAGAGTGAGGTGCTGAAGTCCCCGGAGCCGCCACCCGTCCCCATCCTGGCTCCCACGGAGGGGCCACCCCTGCAGGCCCTGGGCCAGCCCTCAGGCTCCTTCATCTGTGAAATGCCCAACTGTGGGGCTGTAAGTGTGTCTGTGTTGTCTGGGGATCTGGGACAAGCAAGGGCCATATAGCTGTGCCTGGCTTTAAGAGATGATGTATTTTCAAGAGTGCTCTTCCAACAATCACAGTTTGGCAGAGGGTGTTCCATGTTGCCATTGTTTTCTTCTTCATTTGGCCAACAGGTATTTACAGAGTGTGTGTTCTGCGTCAAGCACAATGCTGCATGTTGGAGAACACAGAGAAGGCCCCCATGCCAAGAAGTGTGTGATTCCAAGCTCTGCAGCGAGTGTTGGCCTCCAGAACATAATTCCACATTTCCTGGAGCCTCTGCACTCCCCTGGGCTGTGTGTCACACAAGCTTGTGCCCTGTCAACATGCATTTAAATGTACTAAGAGAGCCTGCTGACAAAGATCATCCTTTTATGACATAATTACTTGACCCACCTCCTGCGATTTTTACCTGTTAGAAGGTTTTGCATTTCACATTTCATAAAATGTTACTAATTGAAATGTCACTAATTTAAATTGAAAATATTGTTACAAAGATTTAACTAAAGTTTATGTTTGTACTCTATAGTGGAGGAAAAAGGATTTACTAAAAGTAAATTAATCATAAAAACAGGCTGGAAGGGAGTGTGTGTTAAGTATTGAGGCCAGTACTTTTCAAGAATATTGGAAACATAATTTAGCTAAAATAAAACAAGTTCACCATTTGGTCATTCTTAGCACTAAAGAAAGACCTTATGGTATCTGTGCTGGCCTTGTCTAAGGCTCCATGTGTATTTTAAAGGATATTTTTAAAGGTTATTTCTCAATCTCCCACTGGTCCCCCACTAGTCTGAATTGGTGAGCTTTTTCCAAATCAGATTTCTTAAGGCCAGGCACACCTGTATAGGCAAGTTCTAGAGGGGTTACCCCTCAAAATAATGTTGCCCCTTCCACAGGAAGCCCGTTTTCCTCAAGTCAGTGTGCTTTTCTTTGCTCGTACGTGATACAGGACAGTGCTCTTCTCCAGAGTGTACTGAATGCTGCTTATTAAGCCTGTCGCTCAGATGGAGAAAGCAACAGTCTTTAAGATATTTAGATCCTAAAGCAGAAATTCATTTGATTTGCATTTAAGAAAAAATGAAATTTTTTTTTAAAAAAAACAAAGAAATATACATTTTGCATTCACTTTGGAGAGAACAGAAGAGATTACTGACTTGTTTTCCATCTTGGATGTTTAATGACCTGGCCGTTTTGTATAGTGTTCAGTGCAGCATGATTACGATAATGACTTTAAGTGATGGTATTTCTTGGTGAATTTGTTCAGAAATCAGATGCCTCCTCAAATCATAGCTCTATGTACAGTAAGTTGTGTACCAAATGGGAAGTTATCTTTTACTTTTTCCAATCAAATGCTCAGCAAGGTAGATATTTTTCTGTTCCAATTTTTCTTTACATAAAAAAAGATATTTTTTAATGACTTTTAAAAATCACAGTGGAAAAAGCATGCTGGTTTTATTTTATTCCTTGCCTAACGATGGAGGCTTTGGTTGCTAAGTCAGCAATAGGTTTTTTCCTACATAAGAAAATAAACAGAGCTTGACCGGGCGCAGTGGTTCACGCCTGTAATCCCAGCACTTTGGGAGGCCAACGTGGGCAGATCACAAGGTCAAAAGATCAAGACCATCCTGGCGAACATGATGAAACCCCGTCTCTACTAAAAATACAAAAATTAGCTGGGCGTGGTGGCGCGCGCCTGTAGTCCCAACTACTCGGGAGGCTGAGGCAGGAGAATCGCTTGAACCCAGGAGGCGTAGGTTGCGGTGAACTGAGATCATGCCACTGCACTCCAGCCTGGAGACAGAGTGAGACTCCATCTGAAGACAAAAACAAAAAAAGCAAACAAACAAAACACAGAGCTCATAAACTTAACACAGCAACTACTACAGCTAGACAGCCCAGCAGGTACTCCCCTTAGCTGATGAGTTTAACAGGCTGGGAGCCAGGACTCTTGGGATTCAGGGATATGGATTTACATCCCTTTATAGCAGTGGTTCTGAACTGGGCATGATTTATTCCCCAAGAACATTTGGCAAGCAATGTCTGACCAAAGATGTTGCTAAACATCCTGTACAACAGAGCCCCCCACCCATCACACCAAATAATTATACAACCCAAAATGATAGTAGTGCTGATGTTAAGAAACCCAGCTTTATGGCAGGATTTTAAAATTCTGCCCAGATCCTTCCTCTTTTTATCATTCTGTATTAAAATTTGGGGGTCTTAAACATTGATTCAACAATGGGCTACTGATTAAGACTATCTATAACATAGAATATGTCAGAAAACCTAATCATTGTCTTTCAAACTGGGTTCCTTAGGGCACTAGGTCTTCCTGGGGGTAGATAGAGCTGAGCAAACAGGCCCAATTCTGGGGTACTGTCTCCATTCTAGCCAGAGCACCTCTGCTTTTAACTTGAGCCTGAGTTTTTTGAGTAAGACCTGATTTCTTAAAAAAAAAGGAGGGAGGGAAAGAGGAAGGAAGGAAGAAAAATGGGAGAGGGAGAGAAGGAGGTAGTTACCAGCTTTAAAAAAGTTTGAAAGCTGGTCCAGTCCCCTCATTTTTCAGATGGAAAAAAATAAAGTATACATAAGGGAAATGGCCCAGCAGCTTTAGTTACAGTAGAGCTGGGTCCAAACCCCTGACGTCTTGACTTCTAGACAGTAGCTTTGTTATTCATCCTGTGCCACATCGCTTCTTCTCTTCTGATTGTAGCAGTGATGAGGTTTTGATTGGCACAGCATTTCTGGTTGTAGTATTTGATCTTTACCTTTTGTAGCATATGCCCAAAGTGTGCTTATATAAAACCCTTGTGCCCTGTCATTAGACAGTTTCAAGTATTCCATGTTTACCACTGAGTAACTAATAACCCTAATTTCCTTTTCAGGACTGTAGATGTCATGTCACTCCCTTTCTTCCCCAGGTGTTCAGCTCCCGACAGGCACTGAATGGCCATGCCCGCATCCACGGGGGCACCAACCAGGTGACCAAGGCCCGAGGTGCCGTCCCCTCTGGGAAGCAGAAGCCTGGTGGCACCCAGAGTGGGTACTGTTCGGTGAAGAGCTCACCCTCTCACAGCACCACCAGCGGCGAGACAGACCCCACCACCATCTTCCCCTGCAAGGAGTGTGGCAAGTAGGTGCAGGGGACCAGGGACTGGATCTGAGTTCATGAGGATAGTTGCTGTATGGGGACTGGGCCAGGATGGCCTAAGGTTTCTTCAATCAGAAAAAAGAACTTAGAACTCAAAATTCTTCTTCATACCATCTTTGGGATGGGTATGTAGGCCTTGTCGCAGACTCAGAATATGGCCATTCTGTTATCTTAGAGCCTTGTAAGGATGGATATCTTCAGAGAGTGAAACTCTAAGTTACAAAACTTCCCTCTTTCCCAGGAATGGCAGGCGGGACTCTGGTTCCCACTCCTTCCCTTCACACCCAAGCTATGTTCACTAGCATTACTCTGTTTGCATCCCCACTGAATGATTTGAGAATGGCTCTAGAACACCTAATCAGGAACTCTCTATAACACATGGCTCATACAGGGTATTCCTACCACCTTCGCTTACTTCTGTGCCTAGGGCAGACATCACTAATCAATCACCACACTCTTTGCTATCACTTGAAGACAAAGCCTCAAATATTTTTCATTGTCATGCTTCAAGCTGCACAATCAATTAATCAGAGTTGACACATGAAATAAAACCTATTTGTTATCCTCCCCTTTTAGGTATAATTTAAAAAACAACAACTAAAGAAAAGTAACATGAGATAGTAATTATAATAGCTAACATTTACTGAGCACTTATTTTGGTACATGGTTTATGTGTATGAGCTCATTTAATCCTCACATAGAAACTCCATGTGATACAAATACTGTTTTTTAATACTTGTTTTACAAATAAGAGTTTAAAAATTAGGTAAAATGACTTGCCCTAAGTCACACTGCCAGTAAAGAGCAGAACTGAGATTTGAACCCAGTTTTGTCCGAATGCAGACCTGGGCTCCTGACCACTGCTCTGTCCTTTTGGTTTACTTTGTTTTTTGCTTTAGGTAGAAAATGCCATTGGTGGTAAGATGGGTGATTCCCTCCCACAGCCTCCAGTAGAGAATTCCAGTGTACTTCTCAATAAGTCCACCTGACTGAAAGGGTACTACATTGTTACGAATTACATCCTTTAGGAGCCTTGCTGAGTTCCTCTTCCCATAATTCCTAGTGCCTCAAGCATGAAGAGGAGTGTTACCTGGGAGAGATGCTGCCCAGGCGGTTTCTGAAACTCTACCAGGAAAACATCCAGTTACATAAGCAAGGCCAGGTGGGACCTCATAGAGTAGAGCAGGCAACTTAATAGTAACTGCTGTTTATCAGGTACTCACTATGTGCCTGGCACTGTTTTAAAGGATTTTTTACATGTTTTAGTCTGTTTTGTGTTGCTACAACAGAATATCACTGACTGGATAATTTATAAAGAAAATAAATTTATTTCTTATAGTTCTGGAGGCTGGGAAGTTGAAGGTCAAGGGGCCTGCATCCAGCAAGGGCCTTCTTGCTAAGTCATCCCATTGTGGAAGGGCAAAGAGAGGGGAGAGAGAGCAAAAGGTTGAACTTGCAGCCTCATACCCTATAATAATCGGCATGAATCCACTCATGAGGGTGAGGCCCTCATCACTGAAACGCCTCCCATTAGGCCACACCTTCCAACACAGCTGCATTAGGGATTCATTTTTCAATGTGTGCTGTTTGGGGGACACATTCAACCCATAG